TTTATTACTTCGTTCCCTATCCTTTTATTAATTTTATTAAAGTAATTTATTACTTCGTATTACTATTCTTTTTTTTTCGTTTTTTTCTTCTTATTCTTAACTTTCGTCTTGCTTTTACCTCCTCTTGCCTGCTCCTCACCTTACTCTTGCCTTACTTATGCCACTTTGCCTCCCTCGCTGTTGGTAGGGAGACATGATATACGGGCTATTCATGCCCGTGCTAACTCTTGGGTGGCTTAATCTTCATCAACCAATCATCGCTCTCATCACAATCGACTTAATAATGGTCCAGGACGGACCGAAACGTCGTCGTCTCTTCATCTTCTGATGTGTGGTTCGGTCAACATATCTTCAGCCACGTTATTGTGACTCATCGTCTGTAGAGACGGAGATATGTTTACATAAATTATGTGTCCGGACGCCCATGTCTTGCTGTCCCTCGCGGCCTCTCTCCCAGCTTCATGAATTAACAGCAATAAAATCACTAATAAATAGGACCGGCTACTAATTATCTGCAATAAATAGGATTGACTAATAATTATCACTAATAACTAGGACAGACCACTAATTATTACTTCCAACTAGGACTGATTGTTAATTAATCTTACTAGGACTGACTTAATTAACCTTAATAGGACTGGACTACTAATTAGCACTACAAACTAGGACTACTAATTTTTAACTGCTAATAATGACGAAAAATTAGGACTGACTACTGATTACCTCCAACAACTATGACAACTAATTATAACACTAATGTTTAAGAATACTAATTATCTCTAATAACTAGGACTAACAATGACTAATAGCAAGGACTGACTGCTAAGTATATCAAATAACATAGCCTGACTACTAATTATCACCAGTAAATAGGACTGACTGCTGTTTATCACTAACAACTAGGACTGACTGCAAATAATCAAAAATATTTTGTACTGACTGGTAATAGTCACTAGTAACTAGGACTGATGGCTAATTAATAGCTAGGAGTCACAACGCCAGTCATTGGGTAATATCCTGTCTGATAACACTGCATTGGGACGTCTTTATGACCTTCTGTCTCAATGAATCTCTCAACTGTCTACAAATAAGCAGTTCCTCAGCCCCTATTCTCGTCCCCGTCCTCTGTCCAACATAACGTCCTCTCCTCTATTCCCTCTTAACTCCCCCATCACCTCCCCCACTACTCATAATCCCCTTCTTACCAACCACCAACCACTATCACTGCTACTGCCGCTCCTCCTCCCTAAACACCGATCATTGGTCTGTAGGAGCGTCTCGTTCCCACAGGATAATCCCAAACACAACAGAGTCGGTGGGATTATGTCAGGGGCTGAGGCAGGGAGCGTCCCAAGGTCTTGAGTCTCACGCTGGAGTTTTAAGGCTTTGTGGAGGTCCAAATTTGTCCCGGGTAAATGTTCCTGGTTACAGTAGAACATTTTGTGGGGGCTGGTTTTATTATTTGGTTTCTATTTCTGATGTTTCTTTCTCTCTTTCTCTCTCTCGCTTTCTCTCTCGCTTTCTCTCTCTCGTTCTCTCTCTCTCTCTCTCTCTCTCTCTCGCTTTCTCTCTCTCTCTCTCTCTCTCTCTCTCTCTCTCTCTCTCTCTCTCTCT